CTCCCTTCCAGACCTTTGTCTTTTTCAGAGAAGAAGCCTGTGTTTCTGTAGAACAGTAGCCCATCACCCTTTGACCCAGCAATAGCACTTCTAGGGCTATATCCCAAAGAGATCATACAAATGGGAAAAGGACCCACATGTACAAAAATATTTAAAGCAGTTCTTTTTGTGGTGGCAAAGAATTAGAAATTGAGAGGATGCCCATCAATTGGGGAATGACTGAACAAGCTGTGGTATATGAATGTAATGGAATACTATTGTGCTATAAGAAATGATGAACAGGCTGACTTCAGAAAAACCTGGAAAGACTTGTATGGTCTGATGCTGGGTGAAGTGAGCAGAACCAAGAGAACATTGTACACAGTAACAGCCACGTTGTGTGATGACTAATATTGATAAACTTAACCCTTCTCAGCAATACAAGCATCTAAGACATCTCCAAAGGTCTCGTGATGAAAAATGCTATCCACATCCAAAGAAAGAACTATGGAGTTTGAATGCAGATCAAAGCATACTATTTGCCATTTTTTTTCTTCTGTTGTGTTTTGTTTCCTCTTTCTGGTGGTTCCTCCTGTTGGTTCTAATTCTTCCTTACAACATCACTAATGTGAAAATATGTTTAATAGCAATATATATGTATAACCTATATCAGATTTCACGCCATCTTGGGGAGGAAGGTGGGGAGGGAAGGGGGGAAAAATTTAAAACTCAAAAGCTTGTGGAAGTGATGGTTGATAAATCAAAATAAATTAATTAGAAATATTTTAGAAAAAAAGAACAGTAGCCTACCCTGGTGGTCCCCTTCCTCGAGCTGGGCAGCAGAGTACCACACCATGTGATAGAGCTCTTATGCTGATGCCACCAACAACTCCTGGAGCGCCAAAGTTCTGGCTTGGATTGTCCAGTCTAGGCCTCATCAGTGAGGAACTTCTGGTGGGAAACTCTCCCCTGCTCCTAGGCTTGGCCGTACTTCTAAACGATGACCTTGTTTCCTAATGCTGGCTCTTCCTTTCTCCCACTTAAAGGCTCCAAGGTGCTCCCCATGCTCTTTGGTTCCTCTTGTCACTTTCAAGTCCATGTTCTGACAACTGCCTTTACCATCTCATTCCAATCTTGTCACTTTGATGTCCATCTAGATCACTCTACCTTCTTTCTCATGACTTCAGCACTTAACTCACAGGTTTGTTACCCTGAGACTTGAATTTCCGTGGTTATGACATCTCTTACACCTTACCCTCATAGTTAGAAAATTAACCATCAGTTTCAAATAGATAAGTTTGACCAGATTAGCTAACTCTGTACACTCCTATATAATTTTATTTTCTAAAACTAATAAACCAATATTGTGTTTTAATAAAAAAAAGGCTTTTGTTTTTGTTTTTTCCAATGCTAAGTAGATTTGGGGGGGGGGTACATTTTCACTTCTCTGGCTTATTGCCTTAATGCAGGTCACTGGTAAACTTCATTATTTGAGACAGACTAGATTCCTGTTGCAAATATCTATTTCACAGGTCTGATTCACTGGGCTAAGGGAATTAATAGGTTTGCTTCAGGCCAGTGGGAGCAAACAGAAAGAAAATAATCATTTATAGATGTTTCTGACTAGTATAATTTCTATTACTTTTCCACACAATATTCAACTGACGTTGTTTTATGAGTATAAGCACTGTTTGGTCTTAATGATCGTTTTTGGATAGGTTATTCGTTCTATTTGACAGTTAGTCAATATGTTGTATCAACATTCTTATAGTCAATAATATCACCCTATCATTTCCATTTTCTGTCTGATGATGATATGTCAAAGGATGATGTCCCCAGACTTAGTCTTATATTCCCCATGTTTTCTTTTATTGGTGCCCATTACTGAAAACTGCTGGCCTTTCTTTGGCTTTGTCCTTTTCCTGAAATGGGATCTTAGGATTTACTGTTAACTCCAGCCTGGACCAAAATACAGTGCCCTCAGCTGGAAGAGTGCCACAGTAAACCTTGAGTTTCATGTCTTACAGGAAGAAATGAAATATTTGCCTGTTTGTCTTTTGCAAGCAGGGCCCAAGGACAACCAGGATCCTCAGACAGAACTATTTAGAAGTGAGTGAGTAACCCTAGCAAATTCAGTTGACGTTTTTTTTCAACTGAAAACTCTGCTTGTTCACTTTGAACTTCTTTAAGCATGAAAAAAAGAAATAAAATAGAATTCCAACCCCATGAGTTAAGTTAAAAATGTTAAGTAAGAGACAGTGATGTTTTATTCTGATATAAGATGTACACTAGGATAGGTAACAAGAGAATTATTGGAATGAGTTGTTTGGTCAAGCTGGAAGGGATTTAAGGGACACACAGGCCAATTAGGGATCTTGCAACATTCTAAAACAACATAAACCCCTGTTCCACTGTGGTGTTTCCATAACATTATCCCATCAATTCAGAAAGAAGTCTTTCTTTTGAGAAAAACAAAAGGGAGAAAATCAAAGAAAAGATGCAACCATGGTTTGGGATGGATATGAAAAGAAGAAATGATAACTGACAGCAGAGAGAAAACAGAGATATTTAAATACTTTTTTGTTGTGTTTTCTGCTGAGAACTACGATCTTTGGACTGGCAGGGACACAAGATACAGGGAACATCTAAGAGAGTACTTAGTACTCAGGAACATCTAAGAGAGTACCTGGGGGTTCTTGATGCATTTAAATCACACGGCCTTATTGAACTACATCCTGGAATGCTGATAGCACGGAGAGCTGGGATGGTTTTCAAATTAGATAGATAGTAGAGCATTGGAGCAGGGTAAATACTGAGCATATGTTCATCAAAAGGGAGAGAGTGGGTTCTGTAGACCATATGGGTCTTCAATTCCTGACAAAATTTCAGAATGTATCATTAAAAGGATGATTAGGGATCACTGAGCAGAAGAAGCAGTAGGCAGAAACATCCACTCAATGTTGTTCTTAAAACAATATTGCTGAGGGGGCAGCTAGGTGACACAATGGATAGAGTACAGGCCCTGAAGTCAGGAGGACCTGAGTTCAAATCCGGCCTCAGACCAAACACTTGACACTTACTAGCTGTGTGACCCTGGGCAAGTCACTTAACCCCAATTGCCTAAAACAAAACAAAACAAAACAATATTGCTGTTACCATATTCCACGTTCTCTTGGTTTTGCTCATTTCACTCTTCATTATTTCATGCAAGTCTTTCCATGTTTTTTTAAGATCATTGAGCTCATCATTTCTTATAGCATAGTAATATTCTGTCATTATCATATACCACAACGTGTTCAACCATATATATTCTGTAAAGGAAATAGAATTCTAAGGGAAAATGTCCCCAAAGATGGATAAAAGGAAAGGAGGAATAAATGAGGGAAGACATCCTCAGTCAATTCCTTTTGCACTTGATGGGAACGAGTCCAGCCCTTTTGTTGGTGGCCTGTCTGCCTGCAGAGGACATCCAGCCTCATGTAACAATCTGTGCTCTCTGTAAGGCCAAAGCTGGCATTGCTGTGGTTTCCAAGTTCCTTTCCCCAGGAAGCTATCTTATTCATCCCTGAAAGCTTGTGGAAGGGTCTATACTTATATTTTAAGCCACAGTTGTAGGTCTGATACGGACTAGGGTCGGGGACCTTTGAGGTCCTGGCTCTGATATTCTGGGTGTTTTTATTCTATTCCTCAAGACTGTGGAAGGTCCTGTGGAATAACATAGGAGGGTAAGACACATCTCCCACCCTCACAGAATTGACAGTCTCACTGGGAGAAGAAGTGAGTCATTGTCAAACAATGAATGGTTGTCACGAATGTTGACTGCTGACCTGTCTTCCCTGGCAATGGCAGGTTCTGCTCTGTTGTGAGTGGGATTTACGCTGCTCTCTGACTGAGTCCTTAGATGAGGCCTCATCATCTCTCATAGGTATCATATGTACTCTTTGTGTTGGCTTTTCTGCAGTCCAAGAGCTGAACCTGAACCTTGAAAGATGGAAGGAGAGAGACGTACTATATGAAACATGCCATTGACCCACCATATTGAAGCCTGGGCCCCACACAGCCCTACAAAACATGAGAGAGACGAAGCTAGGCCACCACAGATGAGCTTCTTGGATCTCTCTGTACCATCTCTTTCTCCTCTCCCATGCACTGTGTGGGAGTGAGACACACAGAATTGGTTAAGCGGGCCAGTGCATACCAGCACTGACGTGGTTTAAATGCAAAAAGGCTGAAACAGATGTTTCTTTCTTCAACTACTTATGGAGACAGTCCTTGACGCTCCTCTCTGACACACAAACTCAGCTTCACCTCAAGGAAAGTTAGGAAGACTAGGAATGGGGAGGACTTCTGCAGTGTGGAGTAATCAGAGAAGGCCTCATGGAGGAAGTGGCAGGAGTGGGAGGGAGCTTTCCATACAGGAGGAGTGGCATGAGCCAAGGCTCAGTCATGAATGAAAACTAGAAAACAAATAAAATTTAATTCACTGAGCTTTGCCTAAATCTTGTAACTTTCTCTGGGTTTGACCATGGACCAATCACTCTAGACTTCAGTTTCTTCTTCTATAAAATGGAAATAAAATGTACCTCCTGAGGTTGTTGTGAAGCTCAAATAAGAGGACATATGTGAAGCGCTTTTTAAAAAAAAAATAAAAGTGACAGTTTTTTTTTTTAATGAAATTACTCACCTAGCCCCCTATAGTTTGGAAATAATGGGTTATAGAGACTGCAAGGCATCCATGACATTCAGTATGCGTGATTGTCTGGCTTGATGTGTTAAGTTGACCGGTTGCTGTGTTTTTCTTTTCATGGCACTGAATGTGGATGAAATTGTGCAAATAGGAAAACCTGCCAAGATACCCAATTGAACATTTCACAATCTGGGAAAATGATAGATTTTTGTTTCTTGGCACTTATCTCTTTTATTTGCCAGGAAAAATTTTCAAGGGGAAATTCCCCATCTCATCCTGAACACAATTGGCTAGCAGACTCAATCCCTATCTGTTCCATTGGTGAAAGGTTTGTATAAATATCAGCCTCCCCTCCAGTGCTCAGCAGGCCTCAGAGCTAGTCTCCCCATCGACCTGAGAAAGGAGAAGGAATCTCAGGTGAGCTTATGTTTCTTTGAGGCTTTGCTCTTTCTCCTCCAGAGAGTTTCTGTCACACATAGGTGATGACATTCTGGTGGGCAGGATCTTTGTCTTCTGTTTCCTTTGCATGACTTTAGGTCACAGGGGAGGAACTCGTGGCCTTGAGGCCATATGTGGCCCTCTAGGTCCTCAAATGTGGCCCTTTGACTGAATCCAAACTTCACAGAACAAATCCCCTGAATAAAAGGATTTGTACTTGGACTCAGTCAAAAGGCCACACCCGAGGACCTAGAGGGCCACATGTGGCCTCGAGGCCACAGTTCCCCACCCCTGCAGTTTAGGACTAAACAAAACCTGTTAATGTACCTGTAGAAAGTGAGCTCCCCGAGAGGGGACTGCTTCCTTTTAATCTCCAAGGAATAGTGAAGTACCTGGCACCTGACAAGCACACTGTCAAAGGTTTTTTGAATTGAACTGATTAATACAGCACCTCCTGAGAGCTCAGTCACTGCTTGTTGATTACCTGACCTTTGCAGGAGAATGGCAAAATTGGGAGCAAAGCCCCCAAAAGCTGAGTGGTGCCCTCTCTGCACTAAGGGAACCCTTCAGGGTTTTCCATAGAGCTGATGGAACCTGGTTAGTAATTCTCAGTCCAAACAACTTTGGAGATTTCAAACCATCCTTCACAAAAGGAATGACTTTGGGGCAGGTAGGTGGCACGGTGGATAGAGCACTGGCCCTGAAATCAGGAGGACCTGAGTTCATATCCGACCTCAGACCAAACACTTGACGCTTACTAGCTGTGTGACCCTGGGCAAGCCATTCAACCCCACCTGCCTAAAAAAAAAAAAAAAAAAAAAAAAAAAGGGAAGGGC